TCCCAGTGCAGTTCCCCCCGTAGTCCCAGTGCAGCCCCAGTACAGCCCCCTCCCAGCCCTGGCGCAGGCCCCGTAACCAACCTCAGTACAGCGCCTGCAGAGCCCCCCCAGTGCAGCCCCCCCAGCCCCTGCACAGCCTGGGAGACGCAGCCCCTGCACAGGGATCACAGGAGGACCCAGGCCCCCAGCGTGACCCACAGCGTGTCTGTGCGGGGGCTCTGGGCACGTAAACCACGGGGACACACAGGGACGGGGTGGCTGTAAATGACCGGTTGCACCGGGGGACCAGGACTTGGGCTGAGCATCCCCTGGGGGTCAGAGGAGAGCTGGGCACGGGTGTGCTTGGGGGCACGGGGTGGGATTCACCCTCTGCCCTGCACCGCGACGCAGGTGTGCGCAGGTACGCCGAGCCGTTTCCTACCCGCCTTCACCATACGTGCAGGCAGCTACGCGTGGAGCCGGGGTCGGATGTTGTTTGTTTTGCGCTGTGAACTAATGAACTCGCAGGCAGAGCCCTGGCCAGCCCCATGCACCGCATCAACAAATAAACAAATAAATTAGGAGAAGCAGGGAAGCCAAACCCGGGAGGCAGCCCGACAACCCCCAGATGTGCGCAGGCTTCCCGTACGCTCCGCGCTGCCTGTGGGTCTCTGCGCCGTCATTCCCGTGTCCCCAGAGCCCCCCTCCAGCCTCCATCCATCACCGTGCCGTGGTTGAGCACAGCACACCGAGCTGCCCCCGGGGCTGTGGGGTGGGAGCGTGGGGATGTCCCACCCAAAACCCAGCCAGGCCCTGAGCCCGAAGGTGGGCTTAAGCACTTAAACTGGTATTTGCCGGTGTCACCCAAGGGCTGTGCCTGCAGGGGGGTGTACCCACACAGCACCGCTGCCGGAAACAGCCCGTGCGAGGGTGCTAATGAGTGATGCTTCCTCGCGGGGTTGGGGGGGCCAACCGTGCTCAGCGAGGCTCACCGCAGCACCGCTCCTCTGCCTCTCGCCGCGGCAGCCTGGTGTCTGCCATCGCAGCGCTGTGCCGCCGTGCCTCCAAAGGGGAGGGGGGCAAAAGCTCGGAGCACAGAGAATTTGGGGTACAATGGCCCCAGGGATGGGGGTATCTAAATCCCATTGGGCCCCTGGGTCTCCCCCTGAGCTGTGGCTGGTGGGGGGCATCAGATGGCTCTTTTACAGCTCTCAAACATGGGGACGTGTGGGGTCGGCCTTTGGCTGAACGCTTGGGAAAGAGGAAGAGGAGCGAGGGTCGGCAATGGGTTAATGGGAAGGAGGTGACACTGTCATCTGTGTCTCTTATCACAGGGCACCTCTTCGGCAGCCCCCAGGCTCATCCCATCCCATCCCATCCCATCCCATCCCATCCCTCCCATGCCAGGCCTGGTGTTATCCCACTGCATCCTGTTGTAAATTATTTCCAGAGCAAGTGTGAAACAATTAAACAAACCGAAGGGCAGAGTCTGCTCGTCAGATCAAAGGAGCGAGCCCTGCAGCGGTACCTCGCTCCCGCGCTCTCCCCTCCTGCCCTGCTCCTCCCGCATTCGTCGTTTTGGGCTCTAAAACAGTGCCCTGATCCGGGTGGGGGGGTCGGGGCTCTGCGCGGATCACGGTGCCGCATGGCGTTTGGGTGCCTCTGGGAGGTCAAGCCCCCTCTGAAACCTGAAAGCATCCCAGAGAGATGACACTTGCATCGCTCCGTCGCGGCAGAGCCGGGGCAAGGCCGGGCCGTCGGCGCGTTTCAAGAGCAAATAACAGATGCCAAAGGACACGAGGCTGCAACGCCTCTTCACCCTCATTTTCTACCCTTGGCAGGGATGTGGGTGCTCCCTCCGTGTTCTCCCTGCAGGCAGGAGCAGGACGGCAGCGGCTGGGCGGTGGGATGCGGCCCCTGCCGCTGCCCTGGCTCAGGGATGTCCCTGCGCCACCACGACCTTGTCACCATCTCCAGCCTCAGCCGGAGGCGAGGCAGGCGCGAGGGCAGCCTGAGGTTTCCAATGCTCGGGCTTCCTTGGAGATGGAGGCTTCTGCTCTCTTTCTCTCCATCTTCTCCCCTTCTCCCCTTCCCCGTCGGAGCCCGGCGAGCAGGGAGCATCTCGGCTCTCCCTGCCTGGAAATACCGGCTGTGGCTTTGCCCGGGCTTGTTCTCCACGTGCAGAAAGCACCGCGTGTTCAGCTTGGCTGCGCTCGGTGGCTCGCGCCCCGAAACTGTAGAGAGCCCCCC